GTCATGACCTGCTTTCACAGTCATTGAGAGAGAGAGAGAGAGAGAGAGAGAGAGAGAGAGAGAGAGAGAGAGAGAGAGAGAGAGAGAGAGAATGAACATGCAACAGGTGCATATAAAAGCACAACTTCTAAATTTAAATCAGCAATAGAACAACACAATGAGAATTATAATCAGTTGGGACAAGCAATCCTGAAGAAATTAGCTTTTAGTCTGGCCTCAAAGAGATGAAGATAGTCCAAGCTTCTTATTTCTTATTTGTGCACATGAACTTTAAATGAATCAGGATGATGGAGAAAGTTCTTTTGTTTTCTAGTTCCTAAAGAGGGTCTGAAGAACCAGGCGGCGTTCGATGAGATGAGGGTTAATTACATCAAGGAGCTCCGGCGTTCGGTAGGAAAAGCGACCAACAACTCGGGCCAAACCTGGCAGCGCTTCTTCCAGCTCACCAAGCTGCTGGACGCCATGCATGATGTAAGTTATATTTGGCTCGTCTGCTTCTTGTGTGCCAACTGCATAGGCTACTGTAATGAGCAGGCTTCCCTCAGTCGCCTCACCTGTATGCCGAAATCAAGCCGTTCGTTTACACTCCAGGTTCCTAGTTTTACAGGAAATGCTCAGTAAGTCAAATGGCAGCCCGGTAGATTTGGTTAATGCTTCACTTAGTGGCTCAATAAAGCTGTGTGATTTGGAGTAGGGATAATTGCATCCCGCTCTTTCCCTAAGGAGGGGGGTGGGGATGCATTTTGGAAAAGCCTGTATTGGTGAATGGACGAGAGGAGGATCAATATCAGCTTTCAGTCATTGCTTTCAGTCACAGCTTTCGTCATTGGATCAGAGTACTGAGTGGTCATTGTGGGAAATGTGCTAAATGTCAGTTACTTTTCAGTGCTTGGGGTCAACAAGAGCAAATGCAAAAAGCCTTGAGTTGCAAGTAAGAGGTCAGAGAGATGACCAGTATGAATTAATTCACCCTTTCGACTAAGTACTTGAGGTTAGTTCTAAATAGATGACCTCTTTTTTGAAAAAAAAAAAAAAAAAAAAATAAGGGCTTTGCAAAGAAAGAAAAAAAAGTGCTGACCCCAAGTGGTGAGTTCAATAGAAGTGCAGAGAGTTCCTTTGTTAAAATAAAATACAGTTCAGTATGTTACTGGGTTGCAGTTGTAGACTGAATGGAAACTTAAAATTGTGGAGAAATTAGGAGGTAGAGGACACATTTTAAGTTGGAGTTTTAATGAATTTATACTAAAGATATTGCATGTACTATTATTATTTTACAATTGACAAAAATCAATATCTTTCTTTATTTCGCATTGCAGCCTGTGCTCCTTCCAACTCATTTTGTCAACGCAAGTCACATTTCGGAAATTTGGCTGAGATACTGACTAAACCCTCCTGCTGTCTTTGGCTCAAAATGAGCCCCTGAAGCCTCCAGCAGGAGGGTTAAACATCGAATGAAAATAGTAAAAAATTGTTTTTCTAACACCTAAAGTACGAAGAAAAAATAAAGTCTTTTTCTCCTGTGTTTGTAATGCACAGCTCGTGGGGAACTTGTTGGACTTTTGTTTCTACACCTTTCGGGAGTCGCAGGCCCTAAAAGTGGAATTCCCTGAAATGCTGGTGGAGATCATCAGTGACCAGATACCAAAGGTGGAGTCAGGCCTCACTCACACAATCTACTTCCACAAGAAGTGACTTTGCCACTCAGCTTGAATGAAACCGACATGAAGCACTGGAAAAGAGGAGAAAGAGGTTCATGAACAGGGGGAAAAACAAACAAAAAAAAAGAAAAATAGGCAAGATTGAACCTGACCTGGTGGCCCTCGCCCTGTTGTCCTGTGTCTCCGAGACCTCGAGTGGGACGACAAGAGTTCAGTGACGTGGCGACGGAAGCAAAACACGGGAGGATGTCATCCTGCAGTCACTATGAGAACTTCAGAACTGTGAATAGTTGGGAGAAGTCACATCTGACGAGTAAATTGTGACGAAGCATTCAGATGTACGCCCATGCAATCCTGCCCCAAAGATAACAGTATTTTTTAAGGAGATAAAGCCATAAGTCACTTAGAATGCATTAGGCTCACAGAAGAGTTGAAGGAAAACGATACACTAATGTCCACACGCCTTCACACACATCTAAATGAGATCCGCTCGCAAATCTAGCAAAAGATTTTTACGAATATATTAAATCTAGCTTATGCAGTCTTTCAAACTTAATAGCACTAGGAGCAAATAAACCAGTACTAACATTAGCTTTTCAACATAGCATAGCAGGTGAACTACAGGGCATAGAAGTGTACACGAAGGCACAGACGTTTTGAACGGTACACTGCAAAAACTGTCCATCTTACCAAATTTTAAAATCTTATATCCAGCCAAAAAGTCTTTTTGATCTTGTTTTGAGACTGATTTACTAAACAAGAACTGACTGTGTAAGAATAATAATCTTGTTTTCAGAATGTGTAAGATTATTTGTCTTGTTAGTCTGAAAATTTGACTCAAATACAGTCAAAATTTTCTGCCAATGGAGTAAGAAAATTTTACTTGGGAAGATTCTTGAAATACTTGATGACTCAATTTTTTCTTATTTCAAGAATCTTACCAAGTAAAATTTTCTTACTCCATTAGCAGAAATTTTTGACTTAATTTGAATCAAATTTCCAGACTAACAAAACAAATAATCTTACACATTCTGAAAACAAGATGATTATTCTTACGCAATCAGTTCTTGTTTAGTAAATCAGTCTCAAAACAAGATCGACAAGACTTTTTGGCTGGATTTAAGATTTTAAAACTTGGTAAGATGGAGAGTTTTTGCAGTGTATGATTGCATGTCTAGTTTAAGGGAATTCCAAGGGCTATACAAGCATCATCATAAGCTAAATACTTACATCAGCTCTCTAAGTTCGAGTTTGAGTCTCAATTCTAGACGGTAAAAGCCATTATTAACATTCACATACTGAGTTTGTACATTTCAAAATGTGTAGTAAAACAATCAAAACTAATATGCAAAAGTCCAAAGCTTGAGCTGTTTTGAAACAAACATAAAGAAAACTTGCACATGAAGCTCCCATGTCACACAGTCACTATTTCAGAGACAATGTGTTGTAGAATTGACACAGTAACGATGTAAGATTTTACCTTTCTGCAAATTTTTTTTAAATAAACACATATATTGAGAAAAAGCCTAAAATGTTGCAGAATGAGACGATGGATTTACCAGAATGGTTCTAGTGAGAGTCAGCTGATGATGGATTTGACTGAGGTGCATCCACAGTAATAGCCGTCATTCGTGTCATCTCCTGAGCAGCCGTCCAAATGTCTGTTTTTACCCGCAGTGAAGCAAAACCAGCCCTTTGTGAACCGACACTTATCGACTCTTCCCGGAAATAATAAAAAAGCATTTTATAAAATTGTGTTGCAAAGGTTTAGTTTTTGACAAGCTGATCATTTTACATTAAGGTGCTTCTTTTCTACAAAAGCCAGGCCAGACCTAACCTGTACAGTAACTCGTAGACAGCTCACACAGTATGATATATGGACACAACGTTTAAACATGCATACTCTGTAAAGTTCATATTATTCGAAATGCAGCGTTATAGTGCTTACAGCAAATCCCAGACTAATATGTACAGCTATTAATAACTTACACCCATTCTGCTCAGCTGTTGTACAGAAGATGTTTTAAGGTACGTGTTGAAGAATGAAGAACAGAATATTACGTTGATATGACCACTTCTCCCATTTTTGAGTTATTTCTCTTATTTTGTGGGCCAAGTTTTGCTATTTTCATTAGCGTTCTAGACCATTTAATTGTCTCACACTCGAAGGGTGTCTGGATGGTTGGTTTGAAATTAATATGATGCTACTGAATGGCGACAAAGTCGCTGGCTGAAGATAACAAGTGGGGAGTTGTGATTATCGTGCCCTGTAAGTGTGTATTTACATGTGTGTATGAAAGTGTGTGATGCCAAGTTTGTGTGTGTGCCCCCCACCCCCCTTACTGGCAAGTCTTTGAGTAGTTTATCAGCTCTTTCTGCGCGGGTAATATGCATACATGTCATGGATTTGGCCATATCCTGCTTTCCACGTTTAAATTTGCACAGAGAGGAAAGTATGTGAAACGAGGCGTTAGCGCAGCTCGCAGGGATAGTTTGTTTCTCAAACCCACGTTGATAGCGGAGGGGGAGAATGTCTGCACGATCACCCGGCCCAAAGTTAGACAACATGACATCAGTGGCACAGCATGGCGCTTAGTGTGCTGCATCAGTGGCCTGAGCCCCTCAAAATCATAAAACGGCACCTCAGTCGTTTGAAGATGGACACTCATTTAAAAAACACGGGCAGTTGTGTTCTTTCATTTAAAAGAATTGTATTGTGAGAGCTGATAAATTTGCATTAAAGGGGGTAGTTCAGATCATTCAAAGTGAGGTTCTGTAATAAGGCTATGAGCGAATAATGTATTACCTGTTGCAGATGGAGCGTTTTGAACAACTTTAGTTTGGAGAACAAGAGTTAAAAGGCACTTTTGCGTATGAATTTCACAAAATAATTGCAAGAGTCTTTAAGTTGCTTCTGTTTCATAAATCAATCAAATCCTTCATAGATGTGAGCTTTGCAGAATCAAAATAGGTGTGGAGAGGAACTTGGTTGCATTAACATGACTCACTACACAATAAAAGCTTGACAAACACCTCCCTGATATAATTTTTAAAACATAACTTACGTTTACCAGACCTCTTTTTGGTCAACCAATTTGTTAACTAAATGCAAAGCTGCATTTCAGTTTCATTTAGTTCGTTTATATAATCAGGACAGTGTGCCATTAAAACGTAAATGTAAAAAAAAACAAAAAACTTTTGATGCAGTGCATCCTCGTGGATTTTCTCTGTTATTTTGGCTTTTAAATCCCACAGCTGAGTGTTCACACAAACCCCAGGCCAACTCCACATCACACCCTTTTCACATGTCAAAGGTCGCGGCTCTGTTATGTTTGAGGTGGAAGTCTAAGTCTGGGCTTAAAGTGTTTTGTGAAAGTGCCTTAACTCAGAGCTACCAGTCCAAGGAGGACCAAGACCAAAGTGGATCACAGCCATCTTAAAACAACTCTAGTCTGAAAATTACATAACTGTTCATGCAAATGGTATTTTCAAATTTCCCATTACATTGTTATTTACTTAAATTTATTACATAAGGGAATATTATAACATTTCTTCTGGAATTACTGTGTAATGTAAAATTTACAATTTGCATGAATATGGTATTTTAAAATCAACTGTGGTCTTGGCCCCACTGTTGCTAGCCGTTAGCTTGTCAGAAGTTATTTCTATTTGTCCAAGCTGGGAATGTTTAAAGAGCTATCTACAACAGGTAAGATAATAATTGTTAATAATCTTTCCACAGGGCCTCACCTCAAGAGATCTGAACTACGCCTTTAGTTTTATTTTTCCAAAATATTAGGTTAGCTCTTGGGGTGCTCATCTCATCTGTTGGCTTTTTACGAAGTAAGTAACCAACTAATGTTTGTTCCTCTTTGCAATAATTTTCAGACGATAACAGGCAGGCCTCATTTTACAATCCAACTGTGTTATGTCTGCTTGCTAATCTCTCACCCTCTTTTTTTTGTTGTTGTTCTTTTTAGAGAATAAACAATGTCTAACAGTTCATAGAGTGAATGGGAAAGTATTTTTGAGAGAATTATATTTTGCTGGGAAACAATATTTAAGTACTTTGTCTAAAAATGATATCCTTTTTTTGTAAAATGAAATGTTATTGCATGCTTTTTGATGAGATGTTTACATGTATTTAAAAAAGGGGAAACTTGTGCCTTTTTATCTCACCTGATTTACAATTTTACAGTACATATTGTAAATAATACAGCAAGTCTTTATGTTGAGTATAGTATAAAGCATTTCTACTTTAAACATCTTGTTAAATATTGGAAGACAATGTGTCCGTTTCCCACTCGCCATCTGTTTGTTGGGTCGCAGGAAAGTAAAAGTTGGCACCAGAAAGGGCCAAACAGAGAAATGAATGTACCATACATTGTGAGAGATTTATGGAAATTACTACCTGAATGTTAGAAAGAGTACATTTACTATCTACTTATTGAGTAAAGTTTTTATTTCTTTGATTTTGCATCTCGTTTTTATTTTGTTTTCCTTTTTTTTGCATCAATGTTCACTTAAGGAAAATAAACAAAAGCACCTTTATTTTATTTTGTAACAAGATGTATTAAAGTGATGGATCTTTGTTGTTATTGAAACAGTTTCCTAACCCATGGCGACACTGTTGATGAGCGACATAATAAAAATCAAAATGTTACAATCAAGCAAAAATAGAGACATTATAAAATTCTTAACCTTTAGTCTAGGAAGAGCAAACACACACACACACACACACACACACACACACACACACACACACACACACACGAAAACCNCACACACACACACACACACACACACACACACACACACACGAAAACACTCTCAGGAACACAAGTGTAACTGACATCAGTCAGTTCAGCTTGTGTACTTTCTTTTATCAGTTTGTGTTATTGCATGACCAGCCACAAAAGGAAAAGGAAATTTGACTCAAAGAAGAAAAAAAAGTGTTGTAGATCAGTGGTCTTCAATCCTGGTTTTTCAGGACCACTATCCTGCATGTTTCAGGTATTTTAGATCAGGTGTTGGAGCAGATAAACATCAAAAACATGTAGAATAGTGGTGTTGAGAACCAGGATGGAGGACCACTGGTGTAGACAAACCCTTGTTCACTCCTTTGTTGTTCATAAGTAGAATCAGTTGGCTTTTTTTTAGCTATTGATTTATTTATTGGCTATATAAATGCACAGTGTGGCATTTTGGAAAACCAAGTCATTCACTAACTTGCCAAAACGTGGATGAGAAGATTGAATGCTGCTATCAGAAGACAGCAGTCTAGCTTAATAGCAAGTCACAGCCAAGCTGTTACAAACTTGATAAATAACTTCAGTACTAACTTAGACCGTCTGGTTTGGGAAAGATAACCTATGTAACGTGGAAAAATACACTATATAGCACATATAAATATATTTATTGTTGTCTGAAGGAACTCAATCCAATATTTCTAAATTTACATGACTCATACTACAGAAACTCAACACATGTTGAGAATATAAAAATTAAAGGGGGAAGTTCTTTATTTCAAGCAGTGTTCTATGGAGTTATCAGTAAACAATATCCTACCTGCAATAAAATAAATAAATAAATTGTTCAGAGCAATATCCATCAGGCAAAATTTATCTCAAGGGAGAAGAACTAATGACCAAGAACACCAAAGTAAATTCTGTCATCTGAAAACAATTCCAGTCTAAACATGACAGTGGT